AAGTGGACTACCTCCTGTTGGGTTATTCTGCTGTGTTATTGTTGTTGTTTTTGTTTCTGCCAGCAAAAATTATATTTATGAGGGGTAATAAAATCTAATAATTCAAAGAAGTCTCTATTAAACTGAAAAAAGAGGGAATGACACTTAAAAGTTCATATTAAAAATAAAACGTAGAAGCAAAAATGGACAAAGAATATGAAAAAAAAAAAAAACAAAAAAATGAAAAAAGGAAAAGGACTCTACATTTTTTTGTCTAGCAGGTAAACATAAACATGTAGGAAAATTTACACGTAAAAGGGGCTGCACGTGAACTCAAGACTACTGTTTTGTTACTTATTAATCTGTTAGCGTGAAATTATCAATATATGTTGCTGGTTGGAAACAATAAATGAGTTCTTGTAAACTTTAACGCCTTTTTTGAAAAATAAATGTTCTCAGTAACTGTTTATATTGAAAATAGTGTAGGGACATTGGTTGTTCCTTGTGGTTATAGTAAAATACTTTTCTAAAGACAAACAATTGATGTGCAAAAACAGATTTAAGATTATGAGTGGCTAGTCCCCTGACATTGGCACCATGTGTGATAAGCAATTGTCAACGGAAACCTCAAAAAGAAATAAATTTATAATATACCTTAAATAAGTACAAAATAGGGTTATTGTGCAAATCTTACTTTTATAAATGAAATAAATTAAAAGGTCCATTTATAAAAGTACGATTCCTTTTGATTCTTGTAACTGCAGTGGAAAGACCAGTAAGGCAAAAACAATCGCTACAAAGTAAACATTTACAGATAGTAATAAATTGCCAGTGTTTGGCCTCCACTAAAATAACCATTTTTTGTCCTCTAATATGAAAGTTGATGTTCTCTCTTATATGGACATAGAATACTTTGATTTATTAGATTTTATGAACCCTCATAATTTTTTTCTAAAAGAAGCAACAACAATGTCATAACAAAATAACCCAACAGGAGGTAGTCTACTTTGTCATTTTAGGGACGTGCTAGAATATTTCATTCTCTTAAGAAAAGATCAGTGATTTATATTTTTTTCTGTAAAGAGTCGATGACATTTGAGGGCTTAATATATTTAAACCATATTACTGGAATTGTTGTGAATGTAAAAGGCTTAGATATAGCCAACTTTCAATAATTATAAATCTAGATATATTACACACATTTTAATATAATATAATAATTTGGGGAAATTTTCAAAGCTCTTCAAGAAATAACAGAAAACACACACTGAGTAATAATTAGGGACCAAAGGTATAAAGTTGTGGCCTTCTAAATATACTCTATAGATGACATGCCTTAAAACACAAGGACAAGAATGTAACCAATTTTCTTCAAAAGAGTCTCAAAATTTACTTATAAAAGACTTGACTATGACAAGTTATGCGAAATGCAGTGAGGTTATCAAAGCTCCACCTTCGGGGGCATAGTTGATTGGTATGACACTCTTTAACATTTTGTGGATAATGTCCAATATATATATGGGGTTGCTGCAAATTAAAAAAGCAGCCGTCGACAGTCAGGGTTGTATAGGATGAGTTTTCAATTAAATAAATACTCGAGTGCCGTTGATCCTTAGACTGACGAGGTGATTTATCGGCGCTTCTAAATAAGGCAAACCTCTGCACTGGTCCCACATAAAGAGAATATCGGAGTGTAATACGATCTCGTTCCCATCAGTTTTATAGATTTGCAGTCAGAATACCGACAGCATTCTAAGGGAGTAATGTTGATACTTGGGCACCTAAACGAATATTAAATATAGTTATCAACTCATTGCCTTGTTAAGGATGCTGTTCGACCTCAGCTGGTTTAAAACTCGATGACGTATGGGAGGCAATAACATACAAAAATTAGAATCAAATAGGGACCACTTAAAAAAACCCATACAGGGTTCCAGCTGATTTCTGGGAGACCTCCTTGACAGGTAAGCCATGACTCGACCTCCAGACAATGATTGTCCCCATGGGATGAAGCTGGGTCTGCTGACCTGAAAAGTTCTCGTGGTTCCAGCACTACATCGTCGGTCCTTGTCCTTGCTCTCTATACAAGAATAAGAAGAAGAGAGTGGCACCTCTACTGAAAAAAATGGAGGTGTCCCTGACTTCACTGGACGCCAAAAGTGTCAAGAAAGCAGACAAAAAGGCGTATTGGTAAGTTGTTGCCTACTGCAGTCGTTATTGTGATGGTTTTATGATTATTTTATATTTCGATATGGAAAAAAACTTGGATCATTAAAGATTTTAAAAAGACAAAGAATGGGTGGAAATGGTAGCGTAGAGCTCCTTCTCCTTCTTTCTAGGAAAACCCAAAAGACTGATTTTGTAGTTATCCCCTTTTATCCAACCTCAGACACACTGGTTCAATTTCAAATAATGCGTTAAAGCTTAATACCATAACACCTTCTTAACAGTTGCAAATAAAAATATAATATTTCTCTTTTCCTCAAAAAAGATTTGTAATCACTAGAAGACCTGTAACAGTTCTAAAACACTTGCAAAGCAACCTGTGTAGAGGACCTTTAAAACGTTTGGATGCAAAGGAAGACTTATAAAATATATACTTGCTATAGAAGACACGTAAAAGGGCCTTAATCTGTAGAAGAAGCGTAAAACATATTATGTCAGTAGAAGATATATTTAAGCTCGTATAACGAAATTCAACCAATAGAAAGCCTATCAAATCAATTTTGACAATGGAAGATCTATTAAAGGTCTTTTTTCTATACAAAACCAAGAATATGGATTCTACTTATAGAAGATCTGGCTTCTATCTGTAAAAGCCCTAAAAAGAACTTCTATGTACATAAACCCTTTTAAAGGTCCTCTGTCAGTACAATGCTTGTAAATGGTCTTTAGGCAATTATTAGGCACAAAAAAAGTTAACTCTCTCGAATTTAGGTTCTTCATAAAGATAGCTTCCTCGATCTTCTTTACATTTTTTATACGATGCTTTCCAAGTGTTTTTAAAAAGACCTTAGTGTCATGGAAGACTTTAGAGTTCTCTTATAGAATACTTTGGAGGTCTTTGCATAGATACTAAAAATAAAAGTCTTTAAAAAATCCTAAAAGACTTTAAATTTAATTTATTCAAGACATTGAACAGTCTAAAAAAAAGTCTAAACAACTTTCTTATAACAGACTGGAAGATTCTCGTGTTTGAATTGAAGTCTTCTTGTAAATTGGTTAGGGAATAAAAAAGTAATAGATCTTCATCCAAGACTTCTTGGAGAAGGCCTCAATATGTTTTAATAGAAACTTTTTTGGTTCACATAAGGAAGACCTTGGAGATTCTTTTTGGACTACGTTGGATGACTCTTTATAACAGAAAAAATGTGACTGTTGTAGTATTCAAAAGACCTTAAAATTCATTTATTTAAGACTCTATATAAAAGTCTAAATACCTTTCTTATGACAGTCTTTAAGATTCTCGTGTTTGAATTTTAGGTCTTCTTATGAAATAGGTTAGGGAATATTAAAGTAATAGAATATTTTCGATTTATTTCTTATTTGACTTCCCAAGATTTCTTAGCAAAGAGCTCAATGCGTTTTAATAGAAACTTTCTTGGCCCACACAAGGAAGACTTTAGAGATTCCTTTTGGACTACATTGGATGACTCATCATAATAGAAAACATGTAAAAAAGCTGTAAGTTCGGCCGGGCCGAACTTTGAATCCCCTCCACCATTTGGAAAGAATTGGGCAATTTTCAAAAAATAAAATCCGTTAAAAATTCTGTTAAAATCATAAAAATACCGAATGTAGCCGTTATATTAGGGCCTGTACTACGACGTGGACCTGCATAGGCAATTTTTATCATAAGCTATTATAATATTTAAATGCGAAACTTGAAAAAAAAAAAATCGGTAAAAATGTAGCAAAAATCATCAAAATATCGCATGTAAGGAGGTACCATTATATGGGGGCTATACGAAGACGTGAACCTGCACAGACAATTTCCTGTCTTAGGCTGTAGTATCCATTGCGAACTTCAAATACCAAATTCGAAACAATTCCTAGGAATAATGTCGATAACATCATTAAAATACCGAATTCGGGAGGTACCGTTATATGGGGGCTATACGAAGACGTGGACCTGCACAGACAATTTTCTGTCTTAGGCTGTAGTATTCATTACGAACTTCAAATATCAAATTTGAAACAATTCCGGTGAATAATCTCGCTTAAATCACCAAAATACCGAAAATAGGGAGGCACCATTATATGGGGGCTATACCAAAAAGCGGACCTACAAGGCCCATTTTCAATACCAAAAGTCCTGCAAACATTATATACATTTAAGTAAAATTTTATCAACCTACTTCATTTCGTTCGGAAGCTAGAGTGATTTCCACAGAGGGACAGACGTGCATCGCTAAATCGACATAGAATTTTATGGTGATTTTGTGGGGTCTAAAATGCATATTTCGAGATATTACAAACGGAATGACAAACTTAATATACCCTTTCATACTATGGTGGAGGGTATAAAAATATAAAATAAGTTTAATATTTTTTATAGAGGACTTTAATGCCTTCTTATGGGATATTTATGGAAACTATAGTCGATACTTTGTATAAGATTTTAATGACTTTCAAAGTCACTTCATAAGAGTTTATTGAGTTTTCTTAAAAGACGTTCGAAACCTCTTATTATAGAACATTTTCAAAGTCTTGTTGTATCATACATTGAAGGACTTCTTTAAGAAAGCATCTCAATTTTCAAAAAAATTCTTCAACAAATCTTCAAAGAATTTATTTTTATAAAATGTATTGAACGATCTTTTATAAGACATTCAGCGATTCCTGTGCAGTGTCAGGAATTCCTGAAGAGTTTCAGGCATGTGCCTTCCTCTTTTACATTATGTATTCTGGAAGTCTTGACGATTATTATTTTCCTTTTTAGAAAAACTCCAACAATATTTCATAGATAACATTTTTATAACACTCCATTCGAATCTTAAGCTGCTACTCATTTCACTTACCTTCTTTGAGCTCTTTTCGATTTCCTTTTCAAAATCTGTTAGGGGTGTCAGGGTCACGGTTACATCTTTAATAATATCACGGAAGGAACTGTAACAAAAAAAAAAACAATAATTAATGAATCTTCCTTACCAAAGAAACCCCATTTATATTTACTTATTAACATCATCGGACGAAAAATTACTCGACTTTGCATCACTTTTGCGTTTCTTCGATGTAAAGGAGGATGGTTGGGATGATGAACTGCCATGAAGATTGGGATTTGAACCGTTGCCACTTATGGAGGGCATTGAATTGTTTGAATGTTTATTGAACGAAGAAGAGGACGATGATAGATTTGTGGGCATATTTGAGTTGCCACCCGTACTACTACTGTTGCTGGGTGGTATAATATCCATGGGTATGGGTGTTAAATTGGTGGCATCTGAATGATGTTCGGAGAGAAAATTAGAATTGGAATTTGTTTGATTTCCCGATGAACCACCACTGGTGGCAGAGTTTGTGTTGGACGAAGAAAAGGGATTTTTGTTGTTTTCTTTTGCAGAGTTGCCACCACTTGCCGCAGAGGAAGAGGAGGAGGAAACAGATGAGGATGTTGTCATATTGCCATGTAAATTGCTGGAGTTTGAAGATACCCCACCAAATGTCATGTTACCTCCCGCATTGGAGGTGGATAGATTTTGAACACCTTGATTGCTACCATGATGATGGGCATGATGTGGATCTGAGGAAAATAAATTATTGGAGTTATTTGATGAGCCTCCCGCTCCCGCTGTTGTGGAATTAAGATTACTACTGCTAGACGATGATGATGAAGAGTCCTTGGTTTTTGACGATTTCGATGATTTCTCGCGAGAGTCCCGCGAGGAGGAAAATGATGTTGAAGACGAAGAATAGCTTTCTTTTTCCTTATCTTTGCTAGAGCTTGATAGCTTATTGGGATTTTTACTATGTTTTCCGCCATCCTTGTCTTTGTAACTGCCCGATGAGGAGGTACCACCACCGCCGCCACCACCCGATGATGAGGAGGATGATTTGATATTTGAAGAAGATGAAGAAGAATTGGTGCCTGCACCTATTGCTAGAGAGTTGCTGGGGCCAGTGCCGCCATAACCTAAAGAAAAGAGGAGGAATTATTAATGGGAATGGTTCAATTAAATCAGAGAAATGCCAACAAACCTCCACTGGGCGTATTGCCTAGATTATGGGCCGAAGAACTAGAAAGATTATTGTTGCCAGCCGATGCCGACGATGACGAGGAGGCCGAGGCTGAGGCCGCCACCGAGGAGGATGACGACGATGATGACTGTTTGGTGGCATTTGAGGACTTTCTTTGTTTGGACGATGACGACGAGGACGAGGAGGCCATATTTGTGGTTATCTTAATGCTGGTCGCCGAGGTGGATGAGGCCGTGGCACTCATGGTTGAGTCAATCTCCTTTTCCGGTGATGAACCCGAATCCGACGATGTATCATGGCTAATGGGTTTATAGGGTGGTATGGTCTTGACATTGCCACCCTTTTTCAATTTACTATAATGATGCTGGCAATAGCCACAGTATTTGACATTGTCCAAATAGTTGCCGGCCTCCTCACACAACAGCCCCAGACTTTGGGCACATGTCACATGGAATTGTTGTTTACAATTGGATTTATTGCACTGCATACAGGCGCCGACAGTGGCGCGATGGGGCTTGCCCATTTCCTGGCAGATATAGCAGTCTGGAAAAGGGAGAAAATTGGAAATAAATGTAAACCTCTTCCTGAAGGAGTTTTTTATAATAAAATTCTCAACTTACTTTTTCCATACCTCTCCTGAGGTATCAACTGCAGTATGATGGGTTCCATTGTGGTAACATTACCAAAACGCACCTCCGGTATGTAGAGGGCACAGACCACATGTGCCCAACCTTGATTGTCGGTCTTCTTCAAAGCACCATCCCGCGAGGGACACAGCTCACAACGCACCCGCGTCGACCTCTCTTGACTTTCACATTTACGACAAAACCATGGACCCGTGGGTACGGTAACAATGCCATAGCATGCCTGATGCACCGCCACAGTACAATTCTGTCCATCACAATACACAAGTGGATTTTCGGGCCATCCACGCTCATCAGAACAAACGCAACATCCTCCGACCATCTCCTTCATTGTGGTCTGTAGAAACCTTTTACGCTTGCGTGAATCTATGTTTGCGGTAATTCTTCATCACCCAACGAGAAGAAAGAGAAAAAGGAAATTTCTGGGGGGGGGGGGTGTTTTTGTTGGTTAAATGGCTGGGATTTGTTGAGGCGTTAGATGCGTTTCCTAAAAATAAAGAAAATAATAGGATATTAGGTGTTGTTAAGAAAACAAAGATTTAGAAAGACTTTCTAATAGGAAAATATGAATAAGAAGGGGTTTTACATCCATGAGAACCCAGAAAGTCTATAATAGACAAGAAATCAAGATTGAGGTTATGAAGTGCAAGAGTCAATGTCAAGGAGACGCCCGCCCGCCTATAGTAAAGCCACAAATTACAAAATTATAATAAAATTTTATACAAATCCTTTGTGAAATGGGGCTAATATCATCCGAATTCCGAATATCGGGATGTACCCGCCGCGTGTTTTTTATCCATACATGCCCTCTTCTTTTTTAACTCCAATGAAAATTCCTTTCAAACTCCCTTATTTTATGGCATAAACAGGAGGATCTGTCAACATTAAACAATGGTTTTCGTACAAATATCACATATTTTTGAATAAAATCATCTCTTTTCTTAAATAAGTTTCTTTATTTCAACATATTTGCCGACAAACGCCGCTTTATTGGCAATAATTCCATTCTCGCATCGGCAGATTATTCTTCATTTATTTTTATTATAAAATTTGAAATATTTCTTCCTTTTTTTTAAATCTCATCTCTTTTTTAAGAATAACACCCATTTTCTACAAGAAATCCCTTTCATGCCACCACATTTACCGATAAACGCCAACGCTGACATTGTGCTCCACTATTCTCACAACTGTCACTTACTTCAAACATATGATTTGGCGGCCTGTCAACGTAATCCATTTGCAAACACATTCCTGTTTTTTCATGTTATTCCTATTTCACAAAAAATAAATTGGATCTTTACCGGCAAACGCCAACGTTTGTATTGGCAATAATTACTTTCCCGCATCGGTCAATTGTTCTTCATTTTATTTTATTTTTATTTTCTTTTATTTATATTTTTCAATATTAATTATTTCTTTATTTTTTTTATTAAAAATCCCATCTCCTTCCATGTCACCACATTTATCGACAAACGCCAACGCTGACATTGTGCCCCACTACACTCACAACTGTCACTTACTTCAAACATATGATTTGGCGGCCTGTCAACGTGAGCCATACAATTGTTTTGCAGCAATTTTTTCATTTTCATACCTAATTGCAATTTTATTTTTGCTTGCCTCTTCGTGACAAAACAAAATAGAAGAACAATAACAAAGGAGGGTAGGGGGAGGGCAACAAAACACAACACAGCACATTTTTGTCTCTCATTTATTTGTAAACAAAAAATGCTGACATAACAAGAAATCAAACAAAAACAAGTACCAAATCAAAAACACAAACTAATAGGAAATTGGAAAACACGAAGAAGACGAAAAAGATGGAATATGGGAGAAAACAAAAATACCAAATAGAACAGACACAAACAAAACACGAAGAAGAACCAGAACATAGAGGAACAAAACTATTAATAAGAAAAGAAAAAAATGTAAAAAAGAAGACGTAAGCATTAGTGAAATACCAAAAACAAAAAAAAAAAACACCATTATGAGGCATGCTGTTGTTATGATGAGGGAGAAGGAGCAGAACGGAATGGGGGAAAGAATGTATACAATTTTGAAGAAAAAGCAATGCACTGCAATGAAGCAGGCAAGCAAGTAACAAACATGTGAAAAGACGTTAAACACCAATGTGCTGCTGCTGTGAAGAAGGAGGGTGGATCAGGGAAATAAGTTTTGTTACTTTGAGCCCGATTAGAAAAATGGCATGGGTGCGGGGGCACAGGCATCAGTGTGCAAGAAAGAACGACAAAGATAAACTGAAAAAGGGCGCTTTTTTACACAAATAGGGCGAAAAATGAGGTGCATTAATGAGGGGGAAATATGTAAGTTGGGAGCACTGTATGGAACCTAGTATACCAAAGATGTATTGATTTTTAACCAAACTTTTTTTTGAAGAAAATTAATTTTAAATTATTTAAAACAAATGTTGGATAAATGAGAAGCTCTTTTGTGGTTAACATGGAAACAAAAAAACCGCGTAAATTATTTTTCTCCATCACCATTGACCAAAAAAAGTGGTCAAACAACGCCGATTTGAAGTCAAATTTTTTATGACAGCAACAAAATATGGGCACTCGATTTGGAAAACGTTTATTACACCATGAACAGTATTGTTTTTTAACTAAAAATTAATAAATATGGAATCATTTCACTTGGGATAAACATTAGAAAATTGATTTTTCTTGTTTTTGTTACTATTTTCCTGCACGTACCACAATTTATTTTCTTGGATTTTTTTTTATTATTTTTCTTCTCTACACACATACACACCACAAAAGAACACCAGCAATAGATAGATTTTTTTAGTGTATTTTTTTCGTTCGCTTTTTATTGCAGTTCTACAGGGAACTATTGTTTTCCGTAATTTTCTTTGCAATATTCCACACAATTCTCAATGAATTTTCCAAATTATTCACAAATTTTCATCAAATATTTTCTTTAATTTAGTTTTTTTTTGGAGTTATTTTTTCTTTTCCATTTCTAATACGGCAGCCACAGCAGAGCCAACTTGTTCTGAATATTTTTTCAACGCAGAACACCAAGCAAGCAAGCAAGGCACACGACCACGAGAGCGAGCCAGAGCGAGAGAAATTCAAATTGTAATCAATTCATTAAAGAAATAACACACACAACGCATACACATTACAAACACCCAAATGGACTGCCAACAACAATATTTTGTGTTGTTTTGTTCCCAATTGGATTTCTCTTCTCTCTCTCTCTCTGTCGGTTTGGAATTGCATTTACTCATTCGCACACTCGTCAATGGGCATGTATTTTTGTCTCATTCTGTTTTGTTTCGGCACACGAAAATCGTTTTTTTTTTAATGAAATAACAGAGAAAACTAAAAATGTTTCGCACTGAACATACCCCACAACACAACTGCAATGTTGTTTTTCTATCGTTTTCCACTTGTTTTTGTTTGGGTTTTTTCGGCGACAATTGCCTTAATTCTCTAAGGAATTTATAACTTTTTGTGTTTTTAATAGTTTTATGGTTTTTTGGTTGTTTTTCTTCCACTTAAATGTTTAATATTTTATTTATATTTTTCACCGCAGCTCACAGTGACAGTGACACCACCACCAATCCGACAATGTAAAGAATATAACTAAATAGGGATGAAGGTTAATGAATTTGAGATTTTCTCTATACTCTCTTCGCTTTTTTGTGAAATATTTATTCTCTCTCTCACTCTTTGGTCAGTGTTGGGTGAAAGATGGGTACTTTAGTTTGGTACAAGTAATTAAACACAGCTGATTTCGGATGGAATAAATGAAGAAAGGGTCTCAGGTTTTAAACAGAATTAAACAGGGGCTCAATTCTAGTTCTATGAAAATTTGAAACATTTATAAGTCCAAATTTACATTTAAATTATTTTACTTGCCGCAAGTCTTTGTTTGTAGGAGAAAAAGAGGGAAGGGGAATGGAAAAATACTGATCGTACAGACAATTTTTAGACAATTTCGTATTTTAGAAAATATTTAAAAATTTGGCCGATTTGGCAAATGAGATTGCCTTGTTAATTCTGCAAAGGAACAAAGGATTTTAAGGCTGATTTATTTCGATTTTGGTCTACGGTCGTTTTTTCCCGAAGAAGCCAGCCGAATTCAAGCGTGATAGTGTGATTTCCTTATATTTGGCTGGATAAGCACAAGTGGCTATTGTTAGAGCACTCCAGCCTTCAAATGTAAATAAATCTTATGTGTCTCGTACCATCGCTCGTTACCGCGATATTGGTAGCGTAGCCCGACGTCAAGTAAGTGGACGGAAGAAAACAGCAACATCAGCAGAAATGGTTCGAAAAGTAAAGAAGCGACTTGATCGAAACCCGCAGTGGCCGAAAAATAGCTCGTGAGCTGAACATATCGCAATATTCCATTCAGAAAATATTCGGAAATTTCTGGTATCAACGCGCAAGACGTCCTGTAGACTCGGACCAAGTAAAAAAACTTGAAAACTACAGCTTTGAAGTAGTCAGTGACTTTATCTACCTCGGTACCGCCATAAACAAAACAAATGAAATTAGTTTTCAGATTCAGAGAAGGATAGTGTTGGCCAATAGATGCTACTATGGTCTATGTAAGCACATCTCACCAGACCAAACTCACACTCTACAAGACACTGATACTACCCGTGCTGTTGTATGGATCTGAAGCATGGGTACTTGCGCAAGCAGATGAGGCAGCGCTTGGAGTGTTTGAGAGAAAAATTCTCCGAAAGATCTACGGGTCGATCTGCATCGACGGTGAATATCGACGTCGAATGAACCACGAGCTATACCATCTATACTCGGACATCGTCATAGTCAGACGTATCGAGCTGCAGCGACTATGGTGGCTAGGTCATGTAGTGCGAATGGATGAGGATGCCTCAGCTCATAAGGTATATAAGAGCGAGCCTACTGATGTTTCACGCAGAAGGGGAAGGCCAAGAATTAGATGGAAAGGCCAAGTAGAAGACAATATATCGGAAAATGGTCCTTCAAATTGGAAAAACTGCGCACAAGACCGACGCGCCAGGAAATTTTTTCTAAACTGGGCTTATGGAACAAATGTTCTGTCGCGAGCCAGCTAAGTAAGTAAGTAAATATTCGGAAAAAATGAGCTCGGGCAAAGCCATTGAAATTCCAAAAAGTGCAAGAACTTACACCGCAACAGAGAGAAAATTGACTCAAAAGAGCTAAAGAGTTGCTTCGCTTGGCCGAAAGTGGTGAACTGCCGAATTTGGTTTTCTCCGATGAGAAAACATTCGTTGTCCAGCAGTTTGTGAACAAACAAAATGATCGTGTCGTATTTGCCAAAGAGGTCAGCTGAAAATGTGCACCCTCGGTTGGCCACCAGAACTCAAGCGCCGGCTATGGTGATGGTGTGGGACATAAAGCCATAACAGCCGATGGTCGCTCTCCGCTCGTATTAATCGACGTGGCATCAGAATAAAATCTCCAAATACCATTCTGTTGGGCTATTGTGTCGGGAGTATTTTGAAAAGCAAGGTTGGCACTAAAAAATACCAAAGTGTCGATCACCTCAAGCAAGCGCTTCGCCCAGAATCGGCCAAAATACCGCAGAGCAACATTCGGGCAGCGTGTGACGGTCTCATTCGTCGTTTGAAGGCCATAACTTGTGCCAAAGGTGACCAATTCGAACAAATCTAAACTTATTCCAAAACTTGATGCCATTTCCGACATTTTTTGCTTTCATTCAATAAAATTTAAAAAAAAAAAAAATGTAAAAATTATGGCGTTTGACTTTGTTGCAGTTTTTTTTATCTCACCCTGTACAAGACTCTACATTAAGGGTTGTTTTTTTTTTTTTGTTGAATTTAATCATTCTGCCCTACCTTGTAATAATTTTTCCATGCAAGAATCTACTAGTTCTTCAATGTTTTTCTATATCGTGAAGAAAAAATCGGTTATCTTAGTAAAAGCTTTAAATTTTTTGCAGCTCTGGTGTCAGACATCAATTTTTGGTGCTTATAACCATGGTACAATAAAAAGGTAAGGTAGAGCTACCAGCTGATTACAAATTTTTTCTAAGTGTGCCCGACTTCTGCCAAATTTGGGTATGTATTTATTGTTTTGAAAAATGAAAACAAAATATTTTCAAAACCAATGATTGGAAGACACGTACATTGCGGCTCGCGCAATAATGCTATTAACCAGTTCAGCCATGAAATTGAAAGATTGGACAGTTTGGATCATATTTTTGAGAGAAAATCCAGGCATTTCATTAATTTTTCGCGCTATTTAACTAATTTTAAAAATGAGGAAAAAATATGAAAAAATTGAAAACAACTCGTTGTATATAAATTTGAATGAGTCTGACAGGAAGCGGGCATAGCCTCAGGGCTGTATTTCTGTAGTTTTACGAAGCTGTTCTACCTCCTTATTGTACCATGCTTATAACAGTATTCTATAAAAGAAGTGAAAATTACAAAACATTTGGTCAGAAATAAATGTAAATATCTTGCCAGCCGTACGTCCATATTTAAGGAAGAACAGTAAATTACAACTTTGACAATGAAGGGACATCAAATAAAGGAAAATGTAATCATATGTTTGCATGATATTGCCTTTATATTATGCGTACCAAATTAGTTCCCTTGTTTCGTACGTTCTCTTCACTCACAAATGCCATCCCTGGTGACAGGGGTTTGTTGTTGTATCGCGACAATTTGGCGTTTTTTTTAGCAATTAATTCTCGACTGCAAACACCTTACACCTCTTTTTTTTTTGTTTACATGCATGCGAGAGTGTGTATTGGTGTGTCTGAGAGTGAGTGAGGTGCAAAGAGAGCCAACATTGAATCGTTGGTTGGTGGCGGTTATTTGCGAAGGAGTTTCATTTCATTTCGTTTGTTTTTGTTTCCTTGTGCGGAGAAGATGGATGGATGGATGATGATGATGATGTTGTTGTCTCATTACCTCCAAAGCCCAGCCATGCCATTCCATAGCCCTGTTTATATCCTTATGAGAATTTGCATATGTGAAGAAGAGGAAAACACAACAACAACAAAAAAAATCATATTCATTAAGAGGGGGGTTTCTCATCAGCCGTACACCCCGCAACAACACTAGCAACAACAACAAAGGTAGTAGAAAAAAAAACAAGTCAAATAAACGCGAGAATGAAATGAGTTCTCATTTCAGAATTTTTATGGAGAACTAAGAACTAAGGGGCCAACCAACCTTGCAACAATCCTTTTTTCCTTTCAGATGGTAAATTTTGTGTCCTCAGTAACAGATTTTTCGCCGCAATTAAAACAACATCTTTTTAACTGTGTCGTCGCTCTGTCGCTTTTGTGTGTTCGTTCGGTGGTGGTCTATCAGCTAAACGACGGTCGGTTGTTTTGATTTGAATTGGTGTGACTTTTTTTATTGGCTAATGAACAATATTTTCTTAAAATAAGTAAGTAAATGGATTTGTGTGTTAATGAATTAATTAATTAATTAATATATCTACTATATTATTATTAAAAAAATAACAATAAACAATGAGAAATAAACAAATAAAAATTTTAAGAAATGGAAACAAATAGAAAAAAATTATTTGACTTTTTAAAATTTTTAAATAATAAATTAATGTTTTATTAAATAAAAAAACAATTAGAAAAATTATTAACAACAAATAAATTAATTAAAAATTTATTAAAAATTATTTAATAATCAAAATTTTTTAAAAAAATAAATAATTTTGAAATCATATTATTTTTAATAAAACTATTCCAAAAAAGTGCATAATTAAATAATAAATAAATAAAGATTGTTAAAAACAAGACACCTACCCATAAATAATTTAAAAAACAATAAAAAAATGTCTTAATAAAATAATTATACATAGGTGGTACACCCCTTAAAAAAATGTCTCTCTCTCTGTTTTAAGGGTGTTGACGCTGCTTGAGTTAGCTGTGGTGGTGTGAAAGTCAGCTTTTTCCTTCTTTCTTTTTTTTTTTTGTTAATTAATTAATATTTGCATATAGAAATTGTATCTCTATATCTCTATCTATCTCATGCGTACATTACATTACAAGAAGAGTTGCCTTTCTTTCGTTTCATTCGTTGGATGGATGCGCGCTGCTGTCATTGCTGTTGCTTGCCGCCGTTGTTTTCGTGTTGTTGTTGTTGTTGTTATCATGACAGTTCATGCGTACTTGCAATGGGATGGGGGACAATTTTATTACTCATTTACCCGTAAGTCGCGCTCATTTGTTTTTATGAACAAAAGAAACGGCAGCAAATGAACGCCAAAGACAACAACAACAAACAGCCTCATACATTTCATTACTCAAGTCGTCTCTTCCGATTGATTTCGTTTTGTTTTCGTGGGGAATGAGATAGAGAGAGAGAGAGCGTTGGAGTGTTGTCAATGTTGCTAAAATGTGTGGTAAATTGGCGTTTTTTTGCGTTATTGGAAAAAAATGCATTACCTTTAAAATTCAAAGATTATTTTAAAACAATAAATGTCAGAAAATTTGTAAAAAGAGAATAATGGGTAAATTTCCTGACTAATAAGCTTCTTTTGACACAACCCATGGCAAAACTAAACAAGTAATCTCATGATAACATATGATATACATATGACAAGTGGCATATTTTACAAAAGTAATAAATAATATTTTATTTTCGGCCTTCCTTGGCATGTAAAAACAATTATCTATTGCATATGTTAGGAAGACGGATTTTACATATATATTTTCTTGGTCTTAAATATTTAAAAAAATAGATTTAATATTCCTGTCCCAGCTGGCGTAACCGGTTATGGGAATAAAATGTTAGTTACTGTTTTAGATTATATTCTTCCTTGACAGAGGGTATAAAAGGAGTGAAAGTGATAAAATATTTGGTCGGAAGTAAATGGCAATTTTTTGCCGGTTCTACGTCCATACAAATATTCCTTGGCGCGTAAAAACAATTATCCGTTTCATATTTTAGGAATACGAATTTTATTTATATATTCGTGGACTTAATCATTTAAAAAGGAGAGGAGGAGACAGAGTTTATAAAAGGAGTGACAGTGACAAAATATTTGGTCGGAAAAAAATTTATTTTTTTTGCCAGTTCTACGTCCATATCTAAGGTGGAACATCAAAATATAAATTTGGCGATGAAGGGACATCAAATAAAAAATGTGTAATCCTTTGATTTCATGAGATTACCATTGTAATTGTACCATATCTATAAAAATAGAAGATTTTATGCACTTTGAAACAATTTCGATCATATTTCTGGAAAATATGAAAAAATGAGAGACACGAAGTCCGTCTGTCTGTTGAAATCACAATACAACTCCCATCATAAATCGTAGAGCTTTGAAAATTCACACACTAGTTTGTATTGCGTCTAGAATGCTTGGTATAGGAAATCGGTCCACGTTTTGCTATAGCCCCCATGTAACGATACCTCCCGATATTGGGTATTTTAATGGTTTTAGCCACATTTTTCAATGGATTTGTCTAGAAATTGGTATTTATAGTTTGCAATGGGTTCTAGCTCCGGTGGCGGAACATTGTATATATATAGATCCACGTTTTCGTATAGCGCCCATATAACGGCAACCCCAGATATTCGGTATTTTGATGATTTAGGTCACATTTTCTAACGGCTTTGTGTAAAATTCGGTACTTGTAGTTAATAATGGATTCCACAACCGGTGTCAAAACTTTGGTCCATATTGGTCCACCGTTGCCATATAACTGTACCCATCGATATTTAGCATTTTAGCCACATTTTCCAATAGAATTGTCTGAAAATCCACACAATGAGTTCTTTCTCAGTACTTTATCCCCTGGAAGAGAATTGTTTATATAGGTCCACGACATCGTATAGCTCCCATTCAACGGTACCCCCCGATATTCGGTATTTTTATGATTTTAGCCATATTTTTCAATGGAATTATCTGAAATTCTACACAAGGAGTTATTTCAGAGTACTTTACCACCTGAAAGAAAATTGTCTATATAGGTCTACGATATATCATAGCCCCCATATAATAGTACCCCCCGATATTCGGTATTTTGACGATTTTAGCAACATTTTTCAATGGAACTGTCAAAAAATCCATACACGAAGTTCTTTCTAAGCACTTTACTCCTGGAAGAGAAATGTCTATATGGGTCCACGATATCATATAGCTCACATACCCCCCGATATTCGATATTTTGGCGATTTTTGGAACATTATTCACCGGAGTTGTTTCAAATTTCGTATTTAGAATTCGTTATGGGTACTACAGCCTATGACAAAAAACTGCGTATGCAGGCGCACTTCTTCGTATAGCCTCCATATAACGGTACCTCCCAATATTCGGTATTTTGATGATTTTAGCGACATTATTTACCTGATTTGTTTCAAAATTCGTATTTAGAGTTCGTAATAGGAACTGCAGTGTATGACTAAAAATTGTCTATGCTGGTTGAGGTCTTAGTATAGGCCCCATATATCAGTACCTCCCAATATTCGGTGTTTTCATGATTTTATTCACCGGATTTTTTTTTCAATTTTCGTATTTAAATATTGTAATGGCTTATGTCAAAAGTTGCCTATACAGGTCCACTTCTTCGTATAGACCCCAATATAACGGCTATATTCGGTATTTTTTAGATTTCAACAGAATTTTTAACGGATGTTATATTTTTGAAAATTTCCAAATTTCTTCTAAATGGTAGGGGGTATTCAAAGCTTGGCCCAACTTATTGCTCTTTTACTTGTTAACTTTCCTATATTTCTTAAAAAATCAAATTTTCCTATATTTCTTATAAATACACTTTTAAATGATGTCAAACGTGTAATTTTGAAGAAATTGTAGAAATATAATTGCACGAGGTTTCCTTCTTAATTATACCATAGGTATTTATTCTAAATTATACAACAGCATATAAATATCTAACATTTTCCTCCACAGGAGTGGATAAATATATAAAAAAACGCTAAAAACCCTCATTTGTCACAAAATAAAAACCCCACCATTGGCATCACCACATTGACAACATTGTTTATGAGTGATTAGTGCAAATGAAAGAGCGTAAGAGCGAGAACACAACATATCTTCACTCGAAGGCAAAAGGTGTTAATTACCAGAGTTGCCAGACTCCAATGCAATTGTATGGTGGTCCTACTACGCATGTAACGTCTTAAAACAAGGAAAACAATTAAAATTCAACAAATAATTAAAAGAAGATTTTTGCAACTAATCAATAAAAATAAAAACAATGTACGATCTATAAATTAAATAATTAATTAATTAAAAGGAAAGGAAAGGGGTTAAATGAAAAACTAATGAAATGGAGAAAAGCTCTTCTCCATTATTTATAGAAACCGCTAAATAGAAACTTTGCATAACCGTTGTTCTTCGTCGTTGTATTTGCGATGATGAAATCTCAACTCGAGAGAGCATGCTAATCTTCTCTTTTGCCTAAAAACACACAACGAATGTGGATGAAAAAAAAACCCTAATTACCGCGCAGCACACAAGCTTCCCTCTATTTGCAATTACAAACAGCCAGTCAGCCCAGCCATCCAGGCAGCGGCAGCGCTGTGACGTCGTTGCTGGCGCATCATCACTGAATGACTGACGACGGTTCATTGCTTGGCCTGCCACCCTCATTTTTCAGTTCTGATTGGAATATAGAAACAAAAAGTCTTATACACAATTAAAATATCCTCCGTTCGCGAAGGTAATTAAAAAATTAACAAAAAGAAAAGGGTTAAAAAATATAAATGCGAAATAATCCAAAATAACAATAAAATAAAATCAATTAGTTAATTGAAAAATAAAACAAAATATTTGTTGTTATTGTTTTTCCTGTGTTTGACGATGATGGTGTGAATTAAAGCAAAAAAAAATATTTCTTTTTATTTTAATTTCTTATTTTAGTTGTTGGTCTCATTAAACCGGAGTTTGGCGAGTCTCTCTCTCTCCCGCTGTGTGTGTGTGTGTCGCTCTCTCTCTCTGTCTGTCTCACTTGCGGTGAGTGTGGTGGAGATTTCTCTGTCTCTAATTCGGGCTCTTTGTTGCGTACGGTACATTGACGTTGGCTGGCATCAATACGTGTGTGTTTGGCACAGTAGTAACTTACCGCTGTTGGCCGACTGCTGGCCGCCGTTCGCCGATCATTGTTTAATCGTCGTTTCGTTGTCGTCTTCACAAAGAGGAAAACAGAAAATCAATTATTTTGGGCGAGAATTATTAACCAATTATTTGTTGGCAGCTAATTAATTGCAAAGACAAATTTCTTTGTCTGGAAGATTCTATAACAGTTTCGTCTAATTTGGAGTGTTCGGATAAAATACAAAAAGAAGAAGAAGAGGTTTTACTTTGTAACGGAAGTAAACGGAAGTAAACGGAAGTCAGAGGGGAAAATGAGTGATAGCACTCAAGGTAATTGTTTTGTGGCTATGCCACCAAACACTGCCTCGGATACTGTCATCATTGGCCGTAACTCGGAAAATCCCAGCCTGGTGGGTGTGGCCCAAGAGGTGGCCTACTATGAGCCATCGGAATCCTTGGAGGGCAAGGTAAGCAAAACAATATTGTGTGTTGAAGTTATGATGTGATGCGATGATGTTGTTGTTGTTGTTATTATTATTTGATGTTTACAAAACGAAAATTTACAAAATTACCTCACTGTTTACTTATGTTTGTTTGTGTTGTTGTTTTTGTTGTTTTTATTTTCCACAGGCCCATTACTTGCCCGATTGCACCCCCCTCCGTGTGGTCTTGCAAAAACCCAGTCCCGGTGTCTGGGGTGGTGATTGCGGCTCCAATGAACGTAGCGTCAGCATTGCCATAACCTGGGCCAATGAAATCAAGGGCGAGGTAACCGTCTACGATGTGATCCGCCTGGCTTTGGCCTCCTCGGAAACGGCCGATGATGCTTTCGATTGCATTTTGGAATTGATAACGCGCTATGGGGATGATGATGCCAAGTTTAGCTTGATTGTTGGTGATCCTACCAAGGTATGGATCATCAGTTGTGCCGGCAAGAATTGGGCTGGCCAGCAAATCTTGAAGGGTGTTCATCATTTGCCCAATGACGGTATGGCTGTAACCAAGGACTATGAGAAATCCAATGAGGATCTGGGTGAAACGTTGAGGAAACGGGCCCGCTGGGATGGTGAGGTAAATATGTGAAAACAAGTGGATTATTGTATGAAAGAAAAAAGTTTCAACTTCTGCGGAAAACATTTTCAAAATCTCCGGTGCGTAGTGTGAACAAATGTGAAAGCGAGAATATTAAGAAAATTATACCCGCAATAATTTGACGAGGTTACCTCTCTCTGTGTCATAGTTTTAAATTTTAGTGTTAACTTGCACGCAAAAGTTCGAGAAAAAATCGTTTTTTCCCTTCCCCCCTCACATTACTTAAAATTAAAGCAAGTGTATACCTCCTCCATTCGCGTAAGCTAAAAGAAAATAAGTGCCACCTCCCCTCTGGGCATTAATTTGAAAAAGAGCTTCCCAAAATATTTTGAAAAATAATAATTGGTGATCCTCATCCCCTCAGTTTAGCAAACTGTAATGCCTTGTTTTCTCGGTTCCATGAAATATTTTGACATATTTTTTGGTTTGAATATTTTTCAATTATTTTTGGATTCAAATTTGAAAAATCCAATTTTGGTGTGTCGCCTAGAGCTGAGCTCTCGGTCTGTTGAATAAAATCAAATTAAATCTTCACTTTTAAAACAAATCGGTGATTTAAGGGGAAAAAGGCGCCAATTTAGTTGGCATTGTTAAGTGTGGTATACACTATGAAACATTTTGACACTTTTGTTTACATTAACGGTTTTTTCTCGAAGTTGTCTAGGAAACCAAGTGGTGAGGAAGGGAAATGAGCGAGGGAAACAAAAAAGTTTATAAGACAATTTTTTGTGGTACCAATCATGGAACCCATTCTAACACTTTCAGAAAATTGGGGATACATTGTGGATAATGTGGGAGGGAATGAATATGAGAGGATGGAAGTTGGTGATGAGACATTTTAAAGTGCGGTACATACAATTAAACCAATAAATTTAAATTTGTAGATTTCTTTGTAAGAAAAATTCTTTTAAGAGGCAAATTAAAAAAAATGTCTCTGACATTCTTGTGTGTGGTATACACCATCAACCAATTTTTTTTTTTTTGATTTTCGACCAATTTAATTATTTATTTCTGGTTTTTATCGGGCTTTTTGGTCGGATTATTTTAAAATGAAAATAAGATTTTATTTCATTCAAATTTAAATTTTTAAAATCTAGTTCGATTTGAAAGATATTGAGTTTTTGGGAGACGAAAAAATAAAAAGCGGATATATTATGTGCGGTACACAACATATATTTGGTGGGAAAAGATTATGGGACATTCTTGAGTGGGCTACGTACCATTGAACGTTGTTTACATTTCTGATTCCTGTTCAATTTTGCTAAGGAACTGTGGAAAACTCTAATTGTTGGGTTCTAGTTAAGAAGGTGGGACAAAGAGAATGTTAGGGCATTTTTTTAAGGAATTTAAAGTGCGGTGCACATTATTGAATCAACTTACTTCTCTTGTTTAATATACGATATTTACTATAAATGGAATAGAAATCGAATTTTTAGGAAACGGGAAATTGGAAAATCCTTTTGGGGTATTTCTATGTGGGGTACACACTATTGAACATTTTAATTTTTTTTTATTCAAATTTGTATCAAATGCAAGAAAACTAGGTTTTTATCAGGAAATGTCAGTTTGGGGTTTTTTTAGAAATATTATTAAGTGTGGTACACACCATGGAACATTTAAAGAGCGGTACATATTATTATATCAAATAACCAGTGTTGTTCATAATTTGCGATATTTAGTATAAATTTAAGTAAAAGCGATTTTTTTAGGAAACGGGACATTGAAAAATCGTTACGGGGTATTTTTATGTGGGGTACACACGATTGAACATTTTACAGATTTAAAATTTTGTTAAAAATTTGTATCATTTCTAAGGATGCACTAGGTTTTGTATTTGGAAAAGTTAAAGGTGGTTTCTCAGAAATATTATTAAGTGTGGTACACACCATGGAATATTTAAAGAGTGGTACACATTGAATAAACAATTTACGATAATTAGTTTAAATGGAATTTAAACCGACTTTTTAGGAAACGGGACATTGAAAATTCGTTACGGGGCATTTTTATGTGGGGTACACACGATTGGACATTTAAAAAAATTTTGTTTGCTAAAAATTGTATCAAGTGCAAGGAAATGACAGTTGGGGTTCTATCAGAAATATTATTAATTAGATTAGGGCAAATTAAAAGAAGCACCATTAAACCGATTTGAGTTTTGGTTTAAATTTTAAAACTTCATCTAAATCATTAATAAAATCGTGTGAAATCCTCAAAAATTTGCAATGATGTTTAGGCAGGCAATTATTTCTTAGAAAAAATAAGTTTTGGGGAAGTGGTCGGAGTGTGAACTATTTTTACTTTCCACATTTATCTAAATTTTTGGCCACAAATTAGCAATTTGCATAATAGGAATGGTTTGTTTATGATTCTCAAGTAAAGAAAGGCATAAAATATGAAGAATTTATCAAACAAAAATGATATTATTAAGAGTGAAGTATGAATAAACAGACTTCCACTACTTCTTTTCGAAAATCTTAGTTTGCGATACATATAAATATTTTTAGGATCGATGGTGTATACCCCAAAAGATTGAGGCTTAAAACTTCTTTTTTTACCCTTCTTTTAAACTGAAATACTTGGTAATTGTTTTTGAGGGCAAAAGATTAATATTCACATCTTGATTTGTCTATAATTTGAGGAAAATTTAAGAACTTTCTCGATTTTTTCCCTTTTAAAGAAATAAATGTTTTTCAATTTCCCCCTTATTAGAATAAACTTTTGTCTACTTTCCATTGATTACATGGCCGGAGATTTTGAAAATGTTCATTATATTAACATAAAAACGTTCGATCGTAACATTCTTCTTTATTTTTTTTTATTATTGTTATTATTTTTTATTCAATTTATCGAAAAAAGGACTCTGAAGAGGATACTTCTACAGAGCAGAATTAATTTCACAAAATGGATCATAGTGTTATTATTGATTTCCTATGCATTCCGCTCCTTCCAAAAGAATTAAGAAAAAATTAAAATATTTTGAAAAAAATTAACTGTTCAAAAAACAAAAATTCAATTTGATTTGAAATAAAACGTAACATAAAGTTCCTAAGCATTAGAAATCTGGCACTTTTTCTAAGTCATCAATTAATTGTGGTAGAAAGGAAATACATTTTTTTCTGATTAGAAAAGAGGAGAAGCAAGAGTCTATTTCCAAACACTCCAATAGGGAATTCTTCTTCTGAATTTGCCTTTCATCCTGGTAGAAAGGAAACAGGAAATCAGCATTTTTTTCTTATTAGAAAAAAATATATTAAAATCAAAATATTTACAAATTCCTTTACAAAAATTTCCATTAGAAAATGTTTAAAATCCTAATTGTGTTTATTTTCCTTTTATCCTGGTACAAAGGAAACCCAAAATTCAATAAGCACACAAACAAGTTTTCTTATCAGAAAAACAGACTAACAACAAAATAGTTACAAATTCATTTCCAAAATTTTCCATTTGTAAAATTTAAAATGCTAATTGTCTTCATTTTCCTTCCTTCCTGCCTTTCCTTGCCATCCAGCCTGCTATTGCTTGCAATGCCCCAAAGCTCTGGTGGCAAGCGTTTATGGAAAGTGTAAACAAAAATTCCTTTACGGAGAAAAAGAAATCAGCTCGTTGCGATTTATTATCCAATGAGACATTTTTAATTAACCTCCAATTATAATTGTGAGTACATACTTGTTTGCATTGTTGTTGTTGTTGTTAGTATTCTTCTTCCTTCTCTACTCATCACCAACATCATCGTCGTTGTCGTCGTCGTCATGTGTATCCCCCTTGTGAGCCCCCGACCACCCCACACACACTCTCGCATGCAAGCTCCACAATCCAAATGAGTAATTTTGTTGCCTTCCATTTATTTGTTTGAGTTCTCATTTATAAATGAGAGAAATTACTTTGTTGTTGTTGGTGATTAATAACAACTCATTGGCGCTGCCATTGCTGTTGCTGCTTGCTGTGGGGGTTTTTGTTTTGTGTGCTGCTGCAGCTGCTGCTGTCGTCGTCCGTTGTTTGTCTCTTCTCTGCGAATGAGTGTTGAAATTAACAACAACAAAAAAATGGTAATTACATTTCCCCAATGTGTACGTTACATTACACTGGCAAACATGCGTACTTTACGTACCTGTAACGTCATTGTGGCACAGCACTGCACATATCCGTTACAAATACAACTCTGTAATTAGCACATAACATGGCCTTAACAGCAGCCGAACAGGGTTGCATTTCATACAGCATCCATTTGAATTGGGGAGCCTTACAGTGTCAGAGAGAAGAGACCGAAAGGGAGAGAGAGTACCAGCCACAGGAAAACAAAACAAACATAGCAGTTAAATTTTGCTCTCTCTCTCTGTGTTGTGGGGGGTTTTGATTGCCTCGCTCTCTCAGTCCCCCTTGGATGGCTGCTGTGAGTCTATTTTAATAAAGAGATGAATATGTTGTTATTTTTTCCTTCTTCTTTGTTTATGTGCCTCTGCTGTGTGTCGGGGAGAGTGAGAACCACTCAACACCCACAACACACAGCACTCATTTACGCTTGCCACCTTGCCGCCGCCGCCGCCGCCTCTTCCTCCGCCAGCAGCAGCAGCCACACACAAACAAAAGTAATGAGATGCAAAAAGGACTTCCTTTTTTTCTTGCTGCCTCCTGCCTCCTCCACATTCGTTTCGTTTGTCGTTCGTTCATTCGTTATGAATAAAAAAGTTTCTCAAATAATTTTCTTGTATAAGAAAAAGTTGCCTGTACATAGAAAAATAATTTTCCCTCTTCTTGTTGGGATTTGATTTTTTGCCGCCTTTTTCGTTGTTGTAGTAGTTGTTGTTGCTGCTATTGCTGTTGTTTCTTTGCATACATAAACTTTGTTGTAGGAAGCAGGCCGCAGCAGCAGCAGCAGCATCGTCGTTATAAGTCGTTAGTTGATGTTAAGGACTTTTTTTGTTTGTTTGTTTCTTTGGCAATACTACATGACGATGGTGACGATGATGATGACGATGAAG